AGTTTTTTGTTTTTTTTTAAAAAAAAGAGCATAACTCAAAATTTTATTTATAAACCCAATTTTTAAGCTTTGATAAAAAAAATTTCTTGCAAAATTTTGGTATAAACTAAGTTTTTGCCCCATCCTAGCCTTTAACTTTAACCTAATCTTAATCAAAATTTAATTTTTGGTTTGATAAAAATTATTTTGATTTATATGTTACACTGTAGTTTATTATTATGGTGTTAAGCACCATAAGCCCTGCCAGAAGTCTAGACACTTTTGCAGTAACATGATGTGGCATATAGAAAATGACAAATTGGAATTCATAAATTTCAATCATCCTGGATTAGTCCGTCATCAAAACAAAACATGTGTGCAAGAAGAAAATACTCAAAAACTGGTGGTTAAATCGGCCTTTAAGCACTAACAAAAAGTGTCAAAAATGCAATTTTATATATAATATATAAAGCTAAAAACTCTAACACGAACCCAAACTCTAAACTAAAGCAAAAAAATACGCCACACTATGTGATAGTCACATTACTACAAAAGTGTCTAGACCCCTGAAGGGGCCAAGCACAATAGGTGCAATATATAATTTTTGATAAATAGATATGTAATTTTTAATAAATTAATTTAAAAAATTTTATTTATTTTTTATTACTATTTTTATTTTATTATTTTTTTTAAATTTTTATAATTGGTATTTTTTATTTTTAATTTTTACTCAATAAATTTAGTTTTTTAGTAGTTTTTTTTAAACCAGGGTTCTTGTTTTTTTATCATTTTTAGAGGTTTTTTCATATTATAAATTATTTATTAATTATATTTTAAATTGTTTATTAATTATATCTTAGATTATTTATAAATTATTTATTAAAATATTTATTAATTGTCAACAAAATAAACATGCATAAATAAACAATAAATATAGTATAATACAAAGGTAAGTATAAATAATTTCTAATAATTAAATTACAAACTAATAAAATTCTGTTAAGTAGAAAACCAAAAAACATAGCTAGCATATTATAACAAATAGGTGCTAGAAAGAGAAAACCTGAGTGAAAATTTAGGTTTTTCACTGGCAAGCTTAGCTATGAAAAATTGCACCCAGAAAATGTGTACTGGGTTTGGTTCGGATGATGGTCCGGAAAATGTCTTTGAAATTTTTACTTTTTTTTACTAAGACTTTATTTTTCAATCATAATGATAATATTTACACAAATAAATTTTGAATTTCGACATTATAATAATTTATTCTTTTTAACCATTTGGTTTGTTTTCTGTGACGTTTTTTAATAAATTACTACTTTTTTTGCAGTTAATTATTCTTTACGTCCTTTCTGAATATTTATTGACTGTTAGAGTTGCAATCCGGATAATCAGTCATTTACTATTGATATTTGAATAATCAGGCAAATAACTATCTGGATAACAATAGTAAAACGGATATCCGAATAAATTCTGATCCAGATATCTGATAGATAAATGGATAAACAGATAATGGATTACAACTCTATTGACTGTGATGAAATTTGGCGAAATAGATAAGACGCTAACTTGTCTATCAATAAAGATTCAGATTTTTTGTATCCTACTTAAATATTCAATGCCGCAAGAAGTTGGCTATTATTCTTAACGTTACTAATGGTAAGTTGAAAAATTTTTCAATAAATATTATATTCTTATTAGATCTTCGTTGCCACATAGTTATTAAATAAATTTTGAATTAAAAAATATAAAATACAAACCTAATTAAATATCTTTTTTAGACGGCCGAACATTGCTTATTTTCATATTTGGCCATTATAGTTTCAATTTTTGACTCATAAGTGACGAAAGTATTTGGCGAAGTAACATATGTTTTTGTTTAGCTAAGTTTTAATTTGATGTTTTCTTGCTGTAATTAACGAAATAAAAGCTTAAAATATTAAAATAATGATTATACCAAATTTTTGCTTTGCTTTTTTTTTTTACAGGAAAAAAAAACAAATGAAAACCATTATTGACTTATTATAATTTAAATAATGATAATATTTTATTAAATATGTACGTACGTACGTAGTTTCTAGTTCCGGTTGTCATACCATTCCAACCTAGCTTTTCAGACAATCATCCGATCCCAACATGGTACAGTTATGATATTATGTATTAAAAATCATCAATGTCAATATGCAATATCATACTTTTCAGGGCTACACAGGTCGAATAAAGGCAAATCGGGCACCAATCGGCATCATGTAATCCCGATATGAACCTGATTCGAAACAGATATTTGGCGCAAATAGGAGACCTTTCAAATAGGGATTACGCAATGCCGATTGGTGCCCGATTTGCCTTCATTCGACCTGTGCTAAGTGCTGGGATGAAAAATTAAATCTTCACTTCAAAATTCCTTCTCCAGCATTCAATACGATAAGTTATGATTTTGTATAGATATCACAAGATCAAGGCTTTTTGCGGTGATGATCACTTATTTCCCAAGGAACATTTTTCTTACAACCATTTACCCAACATCACATAGGGCTAGGGTTAACATTTTGATTAGCAGCAGGTACATACGTATGTAGTTATTAGATCTTGTGTGATGCTGGATAAATAGCTATAGGAGAAATGATTGTCGGTAAAATAAGAGTGATGCGCATTTTGATTTCTTCATAGATTGAAGTTGAAAAGGATGAACGTAAGGTGGGCGACGCTTATAGATATATGATGTTGGACGTTGATACCCTTATGAATCACATAATGTTGAATGTATATAGTAATCAAATTTTTTAAGATCAATTACGACAAATCAAATACAAAATTAATGTAGCCCTATTTAAATCATATATACCACAATAGTTAGTAATTAGAGTAATCGAATTTTTTACAATATAATACACAATAAACTTAATATAAAATCAATTTGCCCTTACCTATCTAAATTATTTATATCACTATGAAAAGTCAATAAGTATAGTAACTGGGGTCTTTGTCTTGAAAATGACCTTATGGGGCTATGTAGATTTTATTAATAAAAATTTAAATTTCTAGCCATCTAATAATCCAATTCAAATAATTCTTTTTTATTTTGTATAGCTCACTAAACTCTACAAAATAAAAAAAAAAGTTTATTTTGAATTGGATCACTGGATAGATAAAAATCTAAATTTTTATTCATAATACCTACATAGTCCCATAAGGTCATTTTCAAGGCAAAGACCCCAACTGATTTTTTTCAATCACGATAAATCCAGTAAAAGTATGTAATTAAAGGTTGAGTTAGAATTATTGTGAGGTACTGCAAAAAAAATTGGTACAATCTTACTTGATATTTCAGTAAATACCAGTACATAGTTAATAGTTGAGTTAGTCTGTATTGAAAATTATCGTGATTTCTAGTACAAGTATATTTCTATTATTTGCATTTAAAGATTTCGCAACTTCTAACATAAGTTATTATAAAAATTTTGTTACAGAGCTTACCTGCTATTCTGGTAACACATAGTATGTAGTTAGAGTTGCATTGGACTTAGTGATTTTTGCCGCTTTACTACACAGATATAGTTGAGCTAGTGCATTAGAATTATCATGATTCGTTACCTTAAAAAATTCTAGTAAAATATGTAATTAATGTTGTGTTAGAATTATTTTGTAATTTGCTACAAAGCTTACTTGATATTCCAATATATAATTAAAGGTTGAGTTGTGATTTTATCGCAAGCTGCTGTAAAAATTCCGAGTTTGTTACTGAACCTATTCAATATTTGTAATTAAAGGTTAATTTGACAGTTGCTATTTCGGCAATACACAGTATATAGTTGAATTGGGTTCGTGTTGGAATTTAATTCAGCTTATAAATCTAAAGGGCGTTTATCAAACAATAGAGTTAATCAACAAAACCAGTTACAAATCATAAATACAAATACTTATTTCCCATTACATATTCTTCAAATTATTTTATTCGCATTAACAATTTTAAGTAGATTGTGAATCTGATAATCATTGGAGGGTAAGGTGAGACCAACTTGATCCTGTGTTCTACGTTACCTCTCTATCTTCTGGATCTTCTGGGGAAGGGAGAGTTAAACGTATTATATTTTTTTTACTATAAGAGAAAAGGGAGAGTCTAAAGAGGTAACATAAAACACAGAATCAAATTAGTCTTGCCTAATCACCAAAATCAGATCACAAAGTGCGAGCTGCGAGCATAAATACTTATTTAAGCTTTGTTCCTGTCAAACATTAACTACGTCGCTAAGCTCATAAAGATTATTTTGTAAGCATTAAGGTAAAATTAGTAAAACCAGTTCAAAAAGCACATACTTACCTCGCGCTATATACTCTTAACTAATTTAGTTTGAGTTTGAAGTTAAAATTGGCAAAATACATACTTTTCGTTTACAGTATTTGTGAAAATTGTACTGTATAAATGCATAATAATGCACCTGGATATTAATTTGAAAATTTTATTTTTTGAAAATCGCCCTATATACATAATCCCAGGAAAGTTTTGAGTAGTTGTATGCATACACGTCCTGAAGGGTATTATATTATTACGCGTAGTAAAGGTAAAAATCTATGCAGCAGCTAACCAATAAAAATATTGCAATTCACAGTTACACAATTTAATTATATAATTTATATGGGTAATCTAAACGTTATCGTTACACACAAATTTTTTAGTATATAGTTATAGATATATAAAAATTTACATGTGACAAATCGTGTGACTGATATATATTAGTATTGGCTGAAATCATCTGGCAAATTTTTTTTCAATAATTTCTAGTGAACATGCTTTTGAAAGTATCATATTTTTTGAATTCAACAAGAGATAAGTATAATTTATTATATATATTAGTATCGGCTGAAATCATCTAGCAAATTTTTTATCAGGAGTTTAAAAGTTATAATAATACTAGTAGCTATAATTCGGTTATTATATCTTAGGGTAGGAACACCAAGATTTTTTTTTTTTTTTTGTGTATAGTACATCTAATTTTTTTATAGCGTCTTACTCTCTAGTCTTTTTATAGGGTCACTTTCTCTGGAGTTTTGGGATCTTTGTTTCTTGGTGTCTTCTTTTTGCTAATATCATCGTTGGTGTTGTCATTTGTCGATGCTGTCGGTTTGGTATTAGTATTCTAGTCTTGCTATTTCATTAAATGGTGTCTTTAGCATCATCATTTTACAGGTAGTTGTCTTTTGTGTTGCCATTTTATAGATAGTCGCCTTTGGTGTCATTTCACAGATGATCAACTTTGGCATCATTATTTCATGTGCAGTTGTTTGGTGTTGCTTTTTGTTGGTTTTTATATCTTATATATGGTTTGTATATTTCTTTAGTGATTGATAGTAGGTTTCAATTTCTTGAATAACAAACATGGTTGGTGAATTTCTTTGATGTAGGCAGCATTTAAGTATTGAATAGTATGGTCCAATTCTTTGGCACATTCTATTACTTGACAAATATAGTGACTTTCTTTGTAATGCAGTGACTTTTAGACTAGGGTTATAGATAGGTTGAAGCTGGGGTAAAGTTAGCAGTTAGTTAAAATAGGATTAGTAGTTGAGTATGATATGGATAGCGAAATGCAAATTATTGGTTCAGAAAATATAAAAGTCTTTTAAAAACTAAAAATCATCAGATTATATCAATTCTGAACTTAAGAAGATATTAGACGATAAGAGATTTAAATTATTTTAGATTGATTATAATAAATAATCAAAATTATATGTTTCAAATGCGACGCAACAAATAAATAAATAAATAAAAATTTATGAATCATAATAATATAATACTTAATAATAATAAATAAATTACATCATCACTATGCTTCAGGTTTATTATTAATATGATAAAACTGACTTTAATTATACTGATCTTGCCGAAATAAATCGGCAGAATAATCGATTTGGTTAATTTTTATCAGGTTTCCTAGAAAAATATTAATAGCTACTGAGTTTTTTTAATTACAAACTCAGACATTAGACAGTTTCCATGTCCGCCATATGTCTATGTCCAACAATTATTGCTTGGACAGTATCCGGTAATAATCAATTTACTCAGACATAATTTGGACACGGAGGTTGGACAATGTCCGAAATGTCTGAGTTTACCAAAAATAGCTCAAACATTAAAAATTGACAATACTGCTCACCAATGCATATTGTTGAGTTTGAAAACAGCGAGTCTGTCACTAGAAGACCAGAATTCTCGTGCTACATCAATTTCAAGGCTTGAATAGAGGCGTAAATACGATTTGGCGAGTATCAAACTATTTTTGTATTTTATTT